ACTTTAATACAAGTTTAACATGACAGCAAATGTACAACGTTTCGACAAGGTTTTGTCATCATCAGGTACCTAAACTTGTATTAAAGTTTTTCTTCATTACCCATTTAAGCCGTCTCCAGCCATTATTAGTCTCAAAGTGGGTTCCTCGTCATCGAATTTCAACTGTTGAATTATTGAATACCTTAAACTTGTAACTTTCCCTCTTATTCTTGCAGTTGATGTTGGTTAAACAATTCTAAAGTTATAAGAACTGTACTCCTCCACGAAAATTAGTATAGATGGTATCAATATGCTTATATTATTGAAGCCGTTAAAGGTATTTCGATATTGTAGTTATGACAAAACTATAAAGGCTATCTGCTACTGTCCCTAGTTTTGATCTAATGACCAGAGGGAAAGCAGCTAGTAAGCAACATCCTAACACCCGCCATTCACGCTAAGAAATTGATTGTCACTCTTTTAACGCTTCCACAACTTAAAGTACAGAGAATATTTTGTGATATTGCACGGATTCGAAACAGACTCGCTAGCTCCGAAATTAAGAGTTCTACCACAGAGCCAGCCCACGCCCTACGGTTAAAGGCGAGACTGAAACAAACAACTTTATATCTTATTACCTGTTGAGTCAAATATAACACAACAGACTTGATGGGATGATCTTTTTCGCAATAGTCTTATACCTACCCTTCAGTATTAGTGGAAAGAACAAAAACATTTACACATATTATGGAGCCGGTGGTTAGCGTATTGATAGAAGGGTCAGGGTTCAAGACGTGATGCTGGTGAACATTTTTAGCACTTTTAGTTATGGGAGTGTTATAAATGTGATAAGTGACAGTCAGTCCATTTATTCGATTCAAAGAGCCAGATAAAGTTGTTATGAAGGCGGGTGCTAGTTACTGGCTGCCTTTCTTCTGGAGTGTAGTTCAAAATTAGGAACAACTTTATCTGAAGCCCATGGTTCTCTGACCTGGTCATGTGGTCCACGTGCGTGTAAGAAGCATGTCAGTTTGAAAGATTCCAATTCTGTGCCCATATTACTACAATCGTAAACGTCATCCCTTATTTACCATTTAACATAATACTAACTTTCAATATTACTACATCACATGAACTAATTTGTTAACACGTTGTTCTTGTTTGTAAAATGTCATGCAAAGCTACTAGAGGGCTAACTTCACTATAGCCGTTCCTAATTTTGAAGCGACAGACTAGAAAGAAGGCGGCTAGTCAGCACCGTCAACTCTTGGGATATGCTTTACCTATGAATATTGAGACTGACCGTTACATTATAACGCCCTCGTGGCTGAAAGGCGGGGATGCTTCGTGATGGGTTTCGATCCCGCGACCCGCAGTTTTGGAGTCAAACACTCTAACCACCACGCCATACCAGTCCGGATTTAAATGACTGACCATTTCGTGTTACTGTACGAATTTGTTGAATTTCAGAATAAATAAAGAGTTGCAGTTAATAAGTTAATACATTAATAATTTTATGTAAATATAAGTTTTAGAAATAAAATGTATTTTAAACTTATACTTATAACTTCTTAAAGTACATTTTTGAAAGTTTTATTACTATTTGTTTTTGAGAAAATAAAACCAGATGATTCACAAAAATTGTAATATGATAACTTTATTTGTTAAGATCATGGTGTGCAATATTCATAATTTCCAGTCAAATACATAACCTTTCTGTACAGAGCGTCAAAAGGCATAACGTATAGGATTAATAAAGGATTCAGTTAAACCCCTGGCAAGTAGTTACCAGCTTGCCGTCCTCGATTCAAGTCGCAACACTAATAACAACAAGAAAATAATTTACCGCTTTTTAAATTATTAACTGGTTTTGGCAAAGACAACAGCCAATAAAAACACAGTCCACTTAATGTTCAGTGCAAGATTTCAGACTTTTCTTTTGCACGTATTTGTATACTAATGTTGAATTTAAAATGAGTTTTATGATACTTATTAACTTACCCCATGTAAGGAACTGATTTACACGACCATATTTCACATCTAAAAACGCAATATTATACCAATTATCCGGATTTAAAGGACTGACCATTTCGTGTTACTGTACGAGTTTGTTGAATTGCAGTTAATAAATTAATACAAGAATGCAATTAATAAAACAATGTTT